AATATACTAAATGTTTATAACTTTGTTTAACATGTTCATTTTTGAACGTGTTCATTTTTTTGTAAAGGTTATATTCAATTTCAATTGTATTTTGTTAAATTTCTATCAATTTGATCTATGTATGAATTTCGATTTATTATGTGGTGGTTTTGTAATGAACTTTGATCAATTTGATTAGGTTTGTGAACATGTAATTCATATTAAATGAATTTACGACCTTTAATTATGAATTGAAGAAATAAAAAATAAAATGATTATGAAAGATACACATTATAAGTATTAAAAAAATATGAACATGCATTAAAAATATGAATATGCACATTTTAGAAAATGAATATACGCATTCAAAATATGTACATATGCATTATTGGTTCATTTTTTGAATGTGCATGAACATAAGCAATTCATAAGGTGAACATATACATAAAAAATATGAATATATGGATTTCAGAATGTTTACATAAGCATTCAAATATATGAGTATAAACATTTAAGAAATTGAACATATGCATAAAAAATATGAGCATATGCATTTCAGAAAGTGAACCTACTTAAGCATTTGAAATATGAACATAAGCATAATCCGACAAAATGAGAACATTTTATGAGCATTAAGAATATTTATCATATGAACAACAAATACTAATATTATGAACATTTCAAAACATTTTAAAATATAAACATATAAAATATATTTATGAATATAATACATTATGAATATTTGAGATTATATATGAACATATAAAATATTATTATGAATATAATACATTTAATTATGAACATAAAAATTTGAAGAAATAAAAAATAATATGATTATGAAACATATGCATTATAAGTATTAAATGTTTATTTTGTTTACGTGTTCATTTTTTATTATTAAATGTTCATATTTTTTTCATGTTTATATTTTTTTTACTAAATGTTCATTTTGTAGAGCGTAGTGTTGATTTTGGCGGATTGCGGATATGTTGTCTGAGTTATTAATTTGGGCCGCGCGTTTTGGGCTTCCCTTTGTTACACCTATCTTAGGTGCATAAGGATGCACCTAAGACCAATTGGTCAAAATATTAAACTGAGCCCAAATCGAACCTAAGCCCGCCTTACCTACGACCCAATGATCATGTGGAGGGTCCAAAGGATTTAATCCCAATTCTAAACCAATTAAGATTAATTGGAATCTTCTATAAGTTTCTAAAATATCTTAATTATCCTTTTTGAAAAGATAAGATTAAAGAGTTTGAAATAATTGAATAAAACTTTTCTTTTTGAAAGTCTTGTAATCTATCCGAATTGAAAGATATTATTTTCGTGCCTCACAGTTTTTATCCAAATATTATATGGTTGGATAGCCCTTGAAATTATATTTCCAATGATATATTATTTTATCAATTTCGACCTATAACGGAAAAGATATGAATAAAATATCAAACTCTATCCAAAACTGACACCGTCTCACTATTTCGTCCATATCTTTTATTCTACAAAATATTTTAATCTGACTCCAATTGGTTTAGAAAGTAGACTTCAAGATCTTTCCAAGATATCTTATTTATCTTATTCCGATGTTTGGATCAAAATATATGATAAAAACAAAAACCGCAAAAACTGCAGTCTATCAAGTTATATTCCGATTTAATTCGGATCTTATCTTGTTTTTACGACCCTTCTTTTTTCATTATAAATAGAGGTCATATCACCCCTTTTTCAATCATCAACAAGCTTGGATCTTGATCATCAAGATATTCTCTTCTCCCTCTTTAGCCTAAACACTAGCCTTCCTATTCTTCCATAATACTTCCCCTAAGCACTCCAAGGAGTCCATACAATACCTGAAGCTCTATAGTTTAACCAAGGCGTGATAGGTAGAATTAACTGAGGGTTTGGACCAAATCAACTCTATTTTTAATTTAATTTAATTTCCATTTGATTTATATATTTATTGAAGTTACTAACAGTTTATTTATGATGTAGCAATTCAAGGAAACGTGGAAAGTAAGTAATTAATTCACTTAATTACTCTTATTATTTTATATTGCTAGTATCATGATTATGGTTATTATTATTATTTGATTTGACTAACATTATTATGGTTAATACTAATGTTTATTCTATTATTTGTTGATCACCATATTGCATGTTAAAGGAAATATGTAATTGAAAATCACGCTTAATAAGATAATTTGGATGACTGGTTTAGGTTCCTTTTTATAATCAAGTGATCACTAATATTTTAGAATTATATGTTGCATTAATATTAAACCAATTAAGCATAATTATAGTTTGGAGCAAATTGAATATTTTGTTTGCATGCCTTTGAGATCGCAGGAATCACTTTTCCCTATAAGAATCGAATAGAGGCCAATACGGGCGAATGTGACTCCATGACTCACTTCGTACCATCATCCCCGATCTTCCTTTCGTGGTTCCGAACCATATAGAGTTAGTAATCTCATGGATTATGAATGGGGTGTAACCTTCACGGGTCAATCGTTGTTGCCTTCGTTGTCCCTTTATCGTGGTTGCCTTTTATGATCCGTGAACGGTTTACAAGTTCCTTAAAAACTTGTTGGCGGCTCCCTAATTTCTTTGTCCCTAATCGTATACGTCAATTTCCACTTCCTATGAGTGCCAAGCATATTCACACATGCTTTAGCGTAGGCGCACTTCAATCGACGCCTACAACAATACTATTTAATATCATTAATAAAGTAATATAAATAATTACTTGGAATAAATATGTCAATTATGAACTATGGCTTGGATGCACCCAACACCCTATACTCGTAGTAGCCAAAACACCACAAACTAATGACTTGGGTGAAAAGCGTACTTTTAGTGAGTTTTTTCGGCCAGCATTCTCGCTAGAGCCAATGAATTAAATTCTAATTTTTCAATTTGTGTGCCAAAAAATGTCTCATTAAGGTTTCGGGGAGGGGGGGGGAGGGTCATTTTGGTCCTTGAGGGTCAAAATTGAGCTGAGAATAAGCAAAAAAAATAGCATAAAAGAGATTTTTCTCCTCTTATAATGAGCTTTTTTTAAAACAAATTTTTGAGTCCAAAAAGCTCTTTTAATAAGCTATTTACCAAATGCTCAAATTAGCTTTTTTAATTAGTCAAACCTCTAATTGGGCAAAATAAGCTAAAAGCTCTTTAAAAAGCTATTTACCAAACAAGGCTAGTATATGTATAATAGAAGCTAGGAACTAATCTAGACCGTTAGATCTAACACAAAAGGCGCGTGATCTAACGGTCCAGATTCATCATGCAACTTTCTCACTTTAAATTCTCTGCTCTGGTCAATCTCTCTCCTCCATTGAAGCAAGTGCACTAAATAATTCTCCATTGATACGGCTTCCAAGCTTTCCGTACTCCATCGACGCAGGTTTCGAGCTTTCTCTACCCCATTGAAGCAACTTTTGAGATAAGAAGTTTAATTTATGTCTGTTTTGTAATCATTGAATTTCGATTTCATTATTTAGGGTTTATCGTTAATTCTTAAATCGAACTCTTTGAATTTCTTCATAAGTTCAATTTTGATATCAAGTTTACATTTAGTATTACCAGTTCTTCAATTAGAAAATGATTTTAGAGATTGATTTTGTTGCTAGATTTTTCCTAATAAACTAGATATGATTACGCTGGCATCCAAATTTATGTGAATTTTGGTGAGTTTTCGAACAAATAATTTATGTGAATTAAGTGAACTCTTGTTATAAATTCATATCGATTGAATTTACATGATTTTTTTGGATGTTTAGCTTACATTTTTAATTTTTTGTAGCTTTGATTTTAAACACTTGTTAGTTATTCAGCACTGAAGCTGAACCTATAGCTTAAATTACTTGTTACATACTATCCTAAAATTAAACTATTAGTGTTTCCTATTTTATTTTTATCAATTTTAAAAGTTGATAGAAACCAAGTTAAAGTAGACCAATTACATTTTAAAGTGAATAAAAAAAAAACTAACGTATAATTTGTATAGTATATGAGCAATCACAGAAATGAATCTGGAATATTGATTTTTTCTTGTTCGTATTACAGTATTACTATGAATGAAAGCAAGTAAATCCTACATAGCTAGGTTGGAGAAAGTCCTAAGGTAGATACAAAATACTTAAAAGTAAATCGAAATATTTCAAAAGTAATTTAACACTCTAAATATATAGATGATGCATCAGATAATCGCCATATGCGGGTGCTTTAGTTTGGGGTCATGCCTAAGGCCACCGATGCTGGTAGAGTACGTAGAAGGTTGCTTTTCGCCCCATTAGGGTAATAGGGTATTAATTATTTTTTTCTAGCTTGTGTAAAGTCAGAAAGTTATACTCTGCATGATGACTGTAATGTGTCCTTTTTCAATCCAGCGTATAAGAGCATGAGCATTGGTGAGGTTACTCACCATTATCCACCTCACTTTCAACTATCTATTTTATTTATTTTTTTTTCCAAATCATCTTCCACCTCACCTTTCACTATCATAAGCTACTAGTGTGAGTCACCTTATTTATTTATCTACAATGGTGAGGTTACTCACCATTCTCTCTCCTAACTACCCCATCATTTTCTCTTTCTCACTCTTGTTTTATTTTATATTTTTTAAACATGTATTAATCTCTATTATTTATTTGTAATTTTTGAACTTACATAATTAATTAAAAAAAGTTAGACATTCTTTAGTGCAATATTAATAGTCATTATAAATAGTACAATATTAATAATCACTTATGTATGTAAATTGAAACAATTTTTTTTTCTAATTTTTGAAATAAAAAGTACAAAAATAATACAATATATAAATAACATAGTTTATTTAGCAAAGACATCCATTAAAATTTAAAATACAATATTCATTAACAGCGACTTTTGTCATCTCTTCATTCGTTGCCGAAACGTCCCCATATATGTTCAACCAAGTCATTCTTTAGTGCAATATGGGTCTCCCTATCACGAACATTATTTCTATTTTCCATATAACCATTTAGATTGAGCCTATCCAATCATCCACTTCTCACAATAAATGGTTGGTTGTTGTTACTAGTTGATGATTCAGCTACATTTTGGGGTTGGTCATTGATAAATTCAGTTGCATCATAATGCAAATATCCATCTCGCTCATCTTCAACAATCATATTGTGCATGATAATACAAGTCATTACAATTTTCCATAAAATTCCGGTCGACCATGCTAGACTTGGTTGACGTATTATTGCAAATCGAGCTTGTAACACTCCAAAGGCACGTTCAACGTCCTTTCGATAACTCTCTTGCTTCTTGGTAAATAATTTGTGCTTACCAGTTTGTGGATGTTTGATTGTTGGGATAAATGTTGCCCATTTCGGATAGATACCGTCTGTAAGATAGTAACCCATATTGTATGTATTTCCGTTGACATTGAAGGTAACCTCTGGAGCTTTTCCCTCACATATATCAGAGAACACCGGTGACCGTTGGAGGACATTTATATCATTACAAGAACCCGGGGTTCCAAAAAAGCGTGCCATATCCACAAGTCTTGCGAAGCAACAACCTCCAAGATCACCGTTGTTGTTTTACTTCTACCTTGATACATTCCTTTCCATGCACGCGGACAATTTTTCCACTCCCAATGCATGCAATCAATGCTGCCCATCATACCAGGAAATCCACGAGCATAACTTTCACGGAGGAGCCGTTCAGTATCCATAATATTTGCTCTCCTCAAGTACTCTGGTCCAAATTGAGCTACAACCCCTTCAACAAAGTGAGCCAGACCTTCTCTTGCAGTACTTGATGCGATTTTAAGATACTCGTCAACTGCATCGGCAGATGTACCGTATGCTAACATTCGAATTGCTGCAGTGCATTTTTGGAGGGGGGATGCACCTAGTCTTCCGGTGGCATCCGACCTTTGTTGAAAGTAAACATCACTTTCGCTTAGTTGATTAACAATGCGTGTGAACACATTCTTACGCATGCGAAACCGTCGCCGAAACATATTAGCAGGGTACAATGGTTGGGGACTAAAGTAATCGTTATATAACTGAATATCAGCATATTCTCGATCTCTTGGTACATACCACCTTTGGTACGTAGGTTCAAGAGTGAATGGGACCTGATAAGTTGATGTTACAAAGGGAACAACAGTTGTATTGATCGCTTCCTCGATCAATTCATCTTCTTTTTTCCTTTGGGTAATTGATTCATGCCACTCTACATAGTCGTTCACCATGTAATCAAATAACCCTGAACTAGATGAACTAGAAGAATTTGAATCAGAGTTCATTTTGTAATATTTTTTTGTAAAGAGGAAGAGTGAATTTTGTTTTTTATTTTTTTTTTTATTTTTTTTTTGTTTTTGTAGAAATAATACTTATATTTATGTATTGAAATATGAAGTGTACCCCCTTATTTATAACTTCTAAAATAATTAAAAAAAATGACTATTTCTGATAAGGTTTGTAGATATATGAGATATGATTTTCGATAAGGTTTACAGATTTTCTACATTGGTAATTCGTTGAATGGATAAACAACTCAAAAAGATTACATTTCTGATAAGGTTTGTAGATTTATTTTGTATGACAATTCAATGTATGGGTACACAAAACAGTAAAAGATGAGATTCTCTGATATTATTGCTTACAGATTTCTTGTCAACATGTGACATTTCAATGTAGCATTGCATGTCGGTAATATTTTACAACATTTCTCATTATTGAGCTAATTTTATATTATTATTATTTACAAGATATAATTTATTAGGTAATAAACAAAGAGCAATTATATTTATTAAAACATTTACTTCAATGCATTAAGAAAAAACAACAAAATATTACAAAGGAAATTGTTAAAGCAACATAAGTAACATACATTACATCAATTAAAACTAGAATAATACACATGTAGTTTGACTACCTTAATTGATATTTAAACTAGCCTAGAAGATGTGCAAATTCTTGTTTTAATTTTAGATATATTTCTTTTTCTTCTTCAGATAGAATTGGTTTTGCAAGAAGGACACTAAATAGCTTGAACCTTTTTTCTTCTTGTTTCTTCCGAGCTTTGATGGCATCTCGCTCCTTCTGATACTCTAGCATACGTTCTGCTACATCAATTCGCCTTTCATTAACATCTTTGTGTTGACCTTTCATTACATTCATCTCTGATAGGGCTTGAGTAAACGACTCTAAATTTTTAATTTCAGAACTACCCCCAATTTGAATTCCAGAATTGAAAACAGATTTACCTTTTCTTTTAGATGCTTTCACCCCGTCAGGACGACGGCGACGAGTATGAGTTTTTGGACCTTCATCAATTGGAGTATCTGACTCTGATCTTTTCGAATTGCCACCATCACTAGAAGGTAAATCCAGGTCTATTGGCTTCCATTTGTCTAACTCTCTCAACATCTCCCAACAACCAATTAAACCAAAGCGTGAACCATTACATGTTCCTCTATATATTTCATGAGCTTCGGTCATTTCATCATGAGTGTTGGTACCACTCATATATCTTTTTTTTGCTTCACTATAGCAACCAACCCATATACTCACATCTTTATTTATTCTTGCCCACCGACTTTTAATAGATCTTAAAGTTCTAGGGCGCATGGTGGATGGATTTTCTTCTCTAGCTTGATCATAAAGGGATTTTATGTTCCTCCACATTACCGCCAAACTTTGATCAGTTGTCGTCTCTGGATCTTCAACTGCACACTCTACCCAAGCCGAAACGAGGGCATCATCTTCTTTTGCACCCCATTTTTCTGCCCTTACATTAGTGTTGCTCCCGTGGGGACCTTGAACAACATCCTTTGAGAATTGTTGTACAAATTGTTGGTTTGGATGCGTTGGTTGGTTAGGAATGTTATAAAATAACATCCTTTGAGCATTTGGATTATAAGGGTTATTTGGATCAAAATGAAAATTACTTTGAAAATTTGGAGAATTGGAAGATTGGTTATTTGGATTATTTTGAGAGGAACCACTTCCGTAATTAGGATTATTAAGATCCATAATCACAAATTATTTTTATAATGAAAAAAGAAGAGTGAAATTTTAAGGGTGAGAAACTATAGATAAAATTATAATTATACCGTAGGTGAAATTATTTTTTGGAAATATGTTTAAATGAAGTGAGAAACTACCGTTGGAGCATTATAGCAATACTAACTGTTAAAAATTAATATAGCCGTTGCATTCTACAGCAAACATCAAACACAAATAGCAAACATCAAACACAACTTGCAATATTCATGACAAGTGTCCTGTGATAATTGGACCTAAAAAAAAATCAGATTCTTTGGTTTAGAAAGTCAGCAACTCACGCTCATACTCAGTGCCGCTTCAAACGTTGCTACCTCATACTGTGAGTAAGTAATGAGTCAGATATTTCAATGGTAAGCTAACTCAAAAAAAGTGAGAGATAGTTCTGAGGAGGGTATGACTCACCGTTGTACATGCTCTAAGGTCATGAAGGATATAATATATAGTGGGTGATTTGGTTGGAAAAGAATGACAAGATTTTCTGTAGTTTGGAATCTTCTTTGATTACTTTATGGGAGCCAATGATCTTTTTAACTTATCTTCGGTCTCACACTCCTGGAGACTTTTTATTATTTTGTGCTTGTTCCTTATTAATGGATTTTTGATTTTTGGTCCTTTGGGTTTTTTTTTTTTTTTTTTTTTTTTTTTAAGTTTGACAGCAATGTATTTTTTGACTGTGAAATGTATTGTTTATTATGGAATTGCCTCTGTATTTGCATTCATATTAATTACTTTATCGCCTTTGTATATTCTGAGTTGCCTTTTCCTTTTGGGTGGGTGGTAGTAGAACTGGAATTTCTTTGAGTAATTTGATTATTTTCTTTCTGAAGATTGCTTGTGCTACAGCTGGAGAAGCTCAAAAATGGTTGGAAGCTTTTGAGCAAGCAAAGCAACAGGTATTGAATTAAAACTTGATGTTGATTTTAGCAAGTTGTTTCATGCTGTGAAGATTATTACTTAAAAGTTGTTATACACATTGTTAGATGAGATTAAATCTGATTCTATTGGAATTATTACTTTCTCATCCATTATCTGTTAATTATTGTTGAAGAAGGGAAACTCCTTTCCAATGCTTGTGAAGCCACATCTACCGTCAGAAGACTCAACCTACAGATGGTTTTTCGGATGTAGTGATTCTTGACATTTCAAGTCTTCCTTAATAAAATTTGCTTGTTTGCTTTGTACAAAAAATAAATAAATAAGTAAACCTATTAGCTCAAATGGTAGAGCACTATGCGGATGCATGAAGATGTAGGTTCGATTCCTACATATGTTACCTCTAAAAGTAAATACAAATCATTCAAAGTTATAAAAACACCTCAAAAGTAAATCAAAGTAAGTAAAAAGTAAAACAAATTAGCTCTTAAGTTATAAGAAAAAAGCATATGGAGCTTATGGTAAAGGTTTTCAAATATAAAGTAGATAAAGCAATACCAAAAGTGAATTATAAAGAAAATCAAAAAAAAATTACTGTATATGTATAACGAAATAATTGAAAGTGAGAAATGGGCATTAAAACCGAGTCATATATCCTTTTATATCTCTCTAAAAATGAATAGGTAATAAACCACGAGAAAAACATATGAGTTGAGGTTGAAGTAAAGGTTTTCAAACTAAAAGTACATAAATAAGTGTAAAAAGTAAACAATTTTATTTTTTTCGTAGAAAATGAATAAAACATCTATAGATTATTTTCAACTAATTAATAAATAAACCTACGTGGGAATCGAACCCACATCCTTTGCGCGTTTGCACAATGCTCTACCAATTGAGCTAGTAGGTTAGTGTTATCAATCAATGTTACTCAAAAGTAAACCAAACGATCTCAAAGTAAATCTATGCCCACATTAGTTAATAATTCAGCCCACATTAGTTAAACCGATACTATACCTTCCATCTCATTTTATCATGCTGCTATTGTGGGCTGCTCATGGAGCAAGCCATGGCAGGGCAGAATCTGCAGTTGCAGCTGCAGGCCATGTTAAGGTAGTAGTTGCAGCAGGTGTTGCAGCAACCTTGGCAAGGCCTACAAGGCTGCGACAGCACCTTGGCAGGGCCTACAGGGCTGCGACAGCACCTTGGCAGCTTGTACAGCAGCATCAGCCTTGCATTAGTAGAGCAGCAGCTGTAAGCTTGGCAGAGCCTCCCAAGGCAGCAGCTAGAAGCTTGGCACGGCCTCCATGGCAGCAGTTGTAGCCTTGGCAGGGCCTCCAGGGCAGCAGTTGCAGCCTTGGCAAGGCCTGTAGGGAAGCAGTTGCAGCCTTGGCAGGGTTTGCATGGCAGGGTTTGCATGGCAGGTTAACAATAGACAATTCCGCAAATGGCATATCTAAATCTTGAATGAGAAAAGTTAGATATGTGACCAGATGAATAAGATGATACATAATGGAAAGAGTTGAATTACCTTTCTAAGTGTATTTGCTGAAAGAAGGGCAATAACCATGATGTCATCCCACCTGCGAAGCTCAATGTGAAGGACATTGTCACCTATTTTACTCAAACTAGACCATTCATCCTCATCTGTGTACAACATCACATCCTCTAGAATTGTTACGGTGTCAATAAAATGCAATGCAGATTTAGTTGCCACTGCTTTTACATCATCCCATTAAGAAAAGCAATGACACATGTTCCCAAACTTGATCGCAACAACACTTCCACTTGCAGCTAGAAGGATCCTGGGTCTCCTAGGTGTGTTATTAGCCTGTACAGGTTCTATGTGAGTAGTAACAGGCTCTCCTTGTGCCATGACTAAAGAACAAGCCAACTCTGTTAAAAAATCTGAGATATATCCATAGCCATAATGTCACAAATCAAAACAGCGTACTTCATTCTGCCTAATTTAATGCAGCTAATAAAATAATCTCAAAAGTAAATAATATAAACTCAAAAGTAAATAATATAAATTGGCTCTAAGATTTACAAGCAATTAATTGGGTTTGAAGGCCTCTATGTATCATTAAACCGAAAAACTTTGGGGTTGTCATATTTTTTCTAGATTGGCAGAGGACCTCAGCTCTATTTCTACCTCCAAATATCTCTAATGTAAATCAACTAAGAGAGAAATATATGAGTTGAGGTTAAAGTGAAGGTTTTCACATTATAAGTTAATAAATTAATGTAAAAAGTAAATAATTTTATATTTTGGAAGAAAACTACTTAAACAATTATAGTTATAATTTCAACTAATAAATCAACCTACATGGGAATTGAACCCACATCCTTTGCGCATTTGCACAATGCTCTACCAATTGAGCTAGAAGGTTAGTATATATTAAACATTTGAAGTAAAGAAAAAGTAAATTACGGAATCACAAAAGTTAATAACAATATCGCAAAAGTAACAAAAAAATAAAAAAAAATATAGAGTTTGTTTTGGCAAACTAATAATGGCATATTCTTCCTCAATACTATAAAAGCCCACATTGTGTGATAAGAGTATCTGGTAATCTTAAATCTTACTGAGTGCCCAACGACTAGAATCACTGCATCATAACTCAACTCCTGGCTATGGATTAGTGGGTTTTTTGTTACATCTACAAATTTGACTCTTTTTATAGTAGCACCCTCCAAAAGCAAATCATCAACCTTATTTCCAGGTTTGATGGTGACCAAACAATATAAAATATTGAACGATATGAGAGAAAGAGATCAGTAGCACTAAAGGAGGGGTGAGGGACATTGAGTGAGAAACACCCAAGGCCTGCAAATGATGCCTAAAACTACAAATAAGTGGAACCAATACATAATATGAAAATAAAAATAACTCAGAAGTAAACAAAAAAAATCTCAAAAGTAAATAAAAAGGTCTATATAGTATATGTAAAAAGAAGAGTTTACACCTAGAAAGTAGAAACTACCCACAATTGGGTACTAGTGTAAATGCAAGAACACAAAATTTCATCAGGATACCTTAAGAATATTGCTTCCACTTATGTTAATTCCATAGCTTTGTACTGAACATCAGATCATGTCCGAATTCTATCGGCACCAACACCACAATAGTATCTGAACCCTAGAAATACCAAATTCACATTCATAAATAAACATTATTCTATAAAAGAACAAATCTTATTTAAAAGAAATGTAAGTGAAATGGGGGTAAATTACAGGAATTGGGACAAATATAAGCTCCTACGGGACATCCCAAGTGCTAATTAACAATTTGTTAAATCAGCATGTGTTTTAGCTCTATTCCAAACCTGTAGAAGGATAATTGAAAAATACGATATTATGTTGTCAAGCAATTTGAAATCCTATCCCTACATAATTTTTCAATATGAAAGCTTAGCTTCTACCTGAAGCACAAATGGGGTCATCTTTATGGTGAAGATCCTTTGGCAAACTAAGAAAGTTACTCAAACTCAAAATTATATTATATTATATCAAAAGTTAATCAAAGTATGTCAAAAGTAAGCCAAAATTACTCAAATTTAATGACATTTATTAATCATTCATCATAAAGGAAGGATTAATGTTTATCTCTAATAATTTATCAGACTACACGGTAATATCAATGGTACTTTAATTTAACAAAAAACCAATAAATGCTCTAAGAAAATCAACAATAGCTAGTTGCCAATCAAGTGCGAAAATCAATAGTTGCTAGTAGCATTAGGCTTTCATTAAGTCCCCACTGTTTTAACTTTAAATAGCAGTAGCAACCTTGGCAGGGTAGCAGCCTTGGCAAGGCAGCAACACTCAACCACTTCCCGGATTCAGAGCTCCTCCATGCAACTTCATTACATACACCTCATTCCCCTTCAATTGCAACAAAATATAACACATTATGAAACATCAACACCACAAAACAATGTACAAAACTTAATCATTACAATCAACACAAAAGTAAATAATTCAAGCTCAAAAGTAACAACTCATGAAAACAAAATCTCACTTGTTTAACACCTCATTCCTCCTTAACCAGATTTAGGTGAACATTAAAAAAGAAAGTAAAAAAAAAATGCATCAAATTATAAAAAAAAAAATAAAACTAAAATCGATTAAAAAGCAACAAAATAGAATAAGAAACGAAAACCCTGACAAAATAAAATAAGACATAACTCATAGTCAAGAATGCAAGCTATACTATCATTCATTTCCTACAAGTAGAGATTAATGTACCAGCGAATTATAAGCCATTTCCACTACATCAATACATTGAGCAAGATACTATTGCCTCGCAAATCGCAATTGTGAACTCAAGGCATAAAAGTGAAACAAAAACTCATAAAAGTGAATAAGATTATAATAAAAGTAACTATCCAAAAGTAAATTATTATCCAACCACCAAAAGCATATCCCTAATGATAATCCAATACACCATTGAATTATCCCCTGGGAAAAAACAGATGAAATTTCCAGTATGGAAGCGTAGAACAAAAGTATCGATTGAAGCCATAATTTTAGAATATCACATACAAAACCCCTAAAATCAGTCAAATTTGAAGAAAACCTCAAATGAACAAATAAATTATACAAATTTCAAACTAACTATTATTTCCAAAAGACATAATGTGAAATTATAACAATACCAAATCAAATATCTGATTTTAAAAAATGCAGACAAAAATTAATCAAACAAAAATGGCAAAAACCTAACTTCACACCAAATCGAACAAAACATATCGAAATCGATAAAAAAAATTCACTAAATCACAAAAATTATAATAAATAAAAAAGAATTACCTCAAACAATGACGAAAATCAAAGAATTATAGCAAAAAAAATTATCAACGAAGAACAAAAACCCGAATTTGATACAAGAGAAACGAAAATACAGAGAGATTTGAGAGTAGAGAGAGAAAGAGCAAGAGAGGAGAGAGAAACAAAAGAGTTGCGAAAAGAACAGGAGAAATGTCATTCAACTTGTGAAATTACCAAATTCCCTTGATAATATTGAAAAAGGCGGGTGAAACACAAGCTGTCGGATTAAGAGCAATCAACGATCATGATGAGTTCCTATTATAGGACTTGGTTCTTTCATGATCCCAACTCTCTTTCTCTCTCTCTCTCTCTATATATATATATAGGGTCGGGATCCGGTGAGAACCACATTCTATGTGAGAACACATCCTATATGTGAGAACCAATCTCAGCCATCAAATTGTATTCAATCCAACGCATGTGATTAATCACATAAAACTTCTAAAATCACACCTAACTGTCATCTCTCTCCACCTAGCTAACTAACTTCTCTCTCCACCAAGAGTTTCATCAATGGCGCCTAATCAGTAACGCTGTTTCTCATTGCTTCAGATTGCTTCATCAATTGCTTCATCAAAGTAATCATAAGCAAGTTCACACCGACCTTGCTCGCCTTGCGCTATATTACTAATCGCGATTGCAATCGCTGCTACAATTCAAATTCGCCAGGTTATTGAATTGAATGTTAATTGGATGATAATTTTTGATTTTTTGGTTTGTTCTGTTCTTATTAATTTTCATATTTAATTGCATCAATCGCCAGGTTATGAATTGCATGTTAATTGCATGATAATTTTCGATTTTTGTGGTTTGTTCTGTTCTCATTCAATTGCTTGTTTAATTGCATCAATTATGGATTTGATTGAATTTACTTCTTTGAAATTTTTTGAATTAAATCAACAATTTAGGTTTGATTAATTTGATAGAAATTGAAAAATTGCAATCAAATTTAAAATGAGCAAATGAATATAAAATGAGCAAACCTAAATATTTGTAATAATATAAAAAAACATATAATGAGCAAACATAATTAAATTGAGCAAATCCAAATATTTAAGTTGTAGAAGCAATGAAAATGAAAGAGGTAGCTGTAGCTAATGAGCAAATATTTAATTGCTCATTTATCAAATGAGCAAGTGGTTGTGCTTCTTAGATTTAGCACTTCTGTGTGCTATGATAATATGAAATTACTGTGTGTGTGTGTGTGTGTGTGTCTAAGAATGTATGGTTTTTGTACGCAAACATGCTATACTGAATGCTATATATGCTAGGTTTTGCAAATCATAGTGAAGGGTAGCATTATCAACTTTTACTCCTTTTCAAATCATCTAGTTTCTGCTATCAAAGCATTGAGTTCCTTGGTTTTCTTGCCTGCACACAAGCCCCACCCCCCTTCTTCTTGGTCTGTTTCCTGCACACCAACCACACTCCCTTCTTACACTTCCTTATACAAACCTATTCCCCCCTCCCCCCTCATCTTCTGTTTGCAATTCTGATTCTGAATCTGATTTTAGATTCTGAAATTTTTTTTTTTGTGTGTGTGTGTGTGTGAGAGAGAGAGTAAGTGTAAGAGTTCTGCTGTAAGTAGTAATTAGTATGGTTAAAAACATGATTTAGCAACACATATGAGATTTTTAATGAGCTTCCTTAAACTATTTTATGGAATTGTTACTAACCTGTTATTTCTATTATATTTAATGTCAGAAATGATGAGCAACAACGAAGAACTTGACAGTCATTCTAGTACCATCACAAATGTGGCAACTACTCCTACAATAGTAGTTTCTCCTAAAGTAGCACCTTTGCTCACTCCTCCTGGAGGAACAAAAGAATGGCTTCCAATATGCCCCAATGAGTTGAAACCAGCTATAGGGATGAAGTTTAATAATCTTGAAGAGGGCCTTGAATTTTATAAAAGATACGCATTTGCTGCTGGATTCAACACAAGAAAGTCTACAACTAAAAGGCAAAGAAGAAGCAAAGAATTGAAATCACAGTATATCTTATGCAATAAAGAAGGATACAAAGAGAAAAGAAAGCCTACTGTTGAAAAAGATTCAAATAACAACGAAGGAGAAAGCAATGAAGAAAAAACTTCAATCAAAAGGAAGAGACTCGTTACTCGTGTTGGGTGCAAGGCACATATTGTCATAAAGCATTGTGATGATAACAAATTCATAGTGTCACAATTTCATGAGGGACATACTCATGCACTTTATACACCTAGTTGCAATCTCTTCCAAAAAGAAGGAAGAAAAATGAACATATTGCACAAAAAAATAATTGTGAATAATTCTAAGGTACGACTTTCAAAGTCTCTTATGTTTCATGAATTCTCTGTATGTTCTAATAAAAGTAGTATGCTCATTTGAAAAATGAGCATTAAATTATTTGCTCATTTGACAAATTGTTTTGTTCTTTAAATAGGTGAATATTGGTCCTGTTGCAACTTTTCGAATGATGAAGGAAATTGTTGGAGGATATGATAACATCGGTGCATCTAAGCAAGATTTAAAAAAATTTCATAGAGATTTGAAAGCATACATTCAAGGAAGTGATGCTCAAATGTTCGTGGATAACTTTACCAACAAAAAGCTAATGTGGAGTGCTTTTTTCTTTGATTTTGAGATGGATGAAGATTATTGCCTTTGTAGAGCATTATGGGCTGACCCCCTTTGTAAAAAGAGTTACGCTCTTTTTGGTGATATGGTATCCTTTGATACCACATACCAAACCAATAGGTAATTCATAAAAATCACAATTCATTTTTATGTTATAACTATAGCTTAAATTAATAACTTTGTTTTAAATGAACTTAGTATAACTGTTTTCTTATTTCACAAATGAGCATTGACTTATTTGCTCATTTCAGAAATGAGCATTTAATTATTTGCTCATTTGACAAAAAAACAAACAATTGTTTGCTTATTTCACAAATTAGCATTGAGTTATAAGCTCATTTGACAAATGAGCAATCAATTATTTGCTCATTTGTCAAATGAGCATTGAATTATTTCAGTAGCTGATGACAATTCTGATTTCATAATCTGATTTCAGATTCTATTACAGATTGTGAGTGCGTGTATGTATGTGTATGTGTGTGTGTGTGCGTGTGTGTGTCTGTGTCTAAGTACATGTGTGTGTATGTATGTGTGTGTGTAATTATTTGATCAATTAAAATTTAATCTGTATGTGTAAACAGGTACAACATGGTGTTTACTCCATTTACAGGGGTTGACCATCATAAGAGCTGCATTACTTTTGCTGCTGGTTTCATAGCGAAGGAAGATATAGTGTCATTTGAGTGGTTGTTCAGATCATTTCTTAAAGCAATGGGTGGAAATGAACCGAATTGTATGATTACAGATCAAGATCCAGCAATGAAAATTGCTGTTAAAAGTGTGTTTAACAAGACTGAACATCGGTTCTGTATGTGGCACATAATGAAAAAGTTACCAGATAAGGTGGAGAAATCAATCATGCAAGAAGAAACTGGTTTCCTAAAAAAATTATGTGCTTGTGTTTGGCATCTTGAAATTGAACCTACTGAGTTTGAAGAAAGGTGGAACAAGGATGGTTGAATACCACTTGGAAGAACATGAGTGGTTAGGTTATATGTACAAGATAAGGAACAAGTGGATTCCGGCGTATTTCAGAGATGTGTTCCTTGGAGGAATAATGCGTACAACATCAAGATCCGAAAGCAAAAACAACTTTTTCTGCTCCTTTATCAATCCTCATGTGTCACTTGTTGAGTTTTACTTGAGATATGAAGCTGCAATTGATGCCTAGAGACACACTCAAGGTTAGAATGATAATGATTCAAAGCACAAATATCCTGAGTGCAAAACACCACTAGGGATAGAAAAGCATGCCTCGCATTTATATACTAAATCTGTCTTTTATGAATTTCAATATGAGGTTGAAATTGCTTGTTTTTCTTGTTGGTGTTGATGAATTGAAGAAAGAAAATGGATTGGAAGTTGCAAAAGTAAGTGAAGGAAATCGAATTAGAACATTTGATGTTGTGTTTAATCCAACTAACTATGACACCACATGTTCTTGCAAGTTGTTTTATAGACAAGGTATTCCATGCAGACATATGATTTGGGTTTGGAAAGCAAAAAGGTTTGAAACCATTCCTGAGCAGTATATGCTACACAGATGGACTACTATGGCACTAAAAAAAACCAATTTTTGACTTGGGTGGAAACCTGTTGGAGCAATGTGCTAATTTAATTGACAAGAAAAAATTGTTAAATGACTTATGGTCAGAGATACACACTTGTGTAAGTTTGGCAGAAGGAAATGATGAAGATATTCAAGATCTTGTGATAAATCTTCAAGGAATAAGAAAGGATTTGGAAGCTAAGAGGATTGCAAGAAATAATGAAACAACAGGAAGTGCAAACAACAAAGCACAAGACATTGAGCTATTGATTGGAGCTAGTGTGCCAACTGAAATAATTGTCAAACCTCCAAAAATTTCAAAGAATAAAGGGACTGGAGTTCATGTATCAAATGAAGAGACTTCAAAAGAGAAAGGGGCTGGGATTGATGTGCCAAATGTTGAAACAAGAGGTAGAAGTGCAAAAAGGCTGAAGGGAGAAAAAGAAAAGGTTGTAGAACAAAACCAGAAAAAGAAGAGATTATGTAGAGGTTGTGGTGAATTGAGTCACCATGATATTAGAAATTGTCCAAAAAAAGTGTAATGATAACTTTACATAAATATAAGATTTAATATTTTTGGCACATCTCCTCATTATATATTAAACATTTCAATTCAGTAGCTGATCATAATTCTGATTCCATAAATTAATTTCAAAATCTAATTCTGAATCTAATTACAAAATCTGATTTCAGATTGTATTACAGGTTGTGAGTGCGTGTAAGTATGTGCATCTGTTTTTGTGTGTGTCTGTGTGTGTGTCTGTGTGTGTGTGTGTCTGTGTGTGTGTGTGTCTGTGTCAGTGTGTGTGTATGTGCATCTGTCTGTGTGTGTGTCTGTGTGTGTATCTGTGTGTGTGTGTGTGTATCTGTGTGTATCTATGTGTGTATCTGTTTGTGTGTGTCTGTGTCAGTGTGTGTGAATGCATATATGTGTGTCTGTGTCTGTGTGCGTGTGTATGTGTATTTATGTGTATATGTGTGTGTAAGTGTGTGTGTGTGTGTGTGTGTGTGTTCTTGTTTAAGGGAGGAAGGGGGTTGCAGGTGATACTGCTATTTTTCAAACAATAAAATGCAACACATAAAAAAATACCATAAGAAATAATAAAGATCCTGGAAATTTGTGTTTTAAATTTTGTTAATATTCTGTTGATTTTATATTTCTTAACAGAATCAATTATTTACTCATTTGGAAAATGAACAATCAATTTTTTGCTCATTTAGCAAATGAGCAAATAGTTAGTTGCTCATTTGTCAAATGAGCAAATAGTTAGTTGCTCATTTGTCAAATAAGCAAAATTTATTTTTAACCATTCATTAAATAAACAAGCATTTCTTCGCTCATTTGTTAAATGAGCAAATTATTCTTTGCTCATTTGTCAAATGAGTAATTTGTTCTTTGTTTATTTTTCAAATGAGTTAATTATTCTTTGCTCATTTGTCAATTGAGCAAATAGTTAGTTGCTCATTTGACAAATGAGCAAAGAATAATTTGCTCTACCCTTGAGCAAATAATTGTTCTTTGTTTATTTGCTCAAATAAGCAAATGTTTATTTGCTCAAATAGTTCGTTGCTCATTTGTAAATCAACAAATAGTTCAAAAAAACGGTAGGTATAAATGACAAAGTATTTCAGGTAAACACAAAAGTCACCATAATCAAAAGTCACCATTTTTACATCATTCAAAAATAACAATTTACAAGTTGATTAAATCATTGTTTCTCTACCTCCCTAAAATTAGAAAGCTATGTCAACACCTTAATCAATACTACACCAAGCAAAATATTGAGGTAACACTAACAAGTAGCCTTTTCATCTTAAGCTTTTTCTTCTTCACCATTTTGTTCTTCAACTTTTTCTTCTTCAGTCTTAGGAGAAACTTTCTTCTGCTTTTTCTTCTTTTGAGGAATTTCTTTAACGGATTGAATTGTGTTTATTTCGCTTGAAATTATTGCCAAGGTGTACTTCATACGAAGTTTTTCCATGATTATCACCTGTAAGAAATAGGAAAGAAAAAATAAAACAAGAAAATTTTAAAAAATATAAATGTATAAAACAGGGTGAAGCACGAAGCACGTAGAAGAAGAATAGAATAAGTAATAAGAAACCCAAATTCTGATTCCTTTACATTTATTTAAAAAGAAAAGTAGCTTGAAATCTTGCTAAAGGTTCACTGGGTTCACTGAATTTTGGTTCAATTGCTCTACAGTTTATAGTCCAAGTTTCATCTGAGTTGGAAAAGGGAAGGTGGATGATTGGTGTGCAAGGTCACTCAGAACCATCTGCTACTTATATTGGACATAAACAGAATTCTATTAGAAGTTGTGGAAATTATGTCCTGTTTTTTTAATTATTGAAATGTTGGTGCAAAGCCTCTACTTCAAGAGAAAAAAAAAACAGAGTAGGAAGCTGCCTTAGTGTGCTACCTTTTCTGCTATGCATAAACAGATGGAAGCTTGGAAGATTTCACTTATCAAGGATGCATAATCCACAGCCTAGAGCACTAGTTGATGCCAGTTTAAGTATGTGCATGTGTTTCTGTGTGTGTGTCTGTGTGTGTGTGTCTGTGTCAGTGTGTGTATATGTGCATCTGTCTGTGTGTGTATCTATGTGTGTGTGTCTGTGTGTGTATCTATGTGTGTGTCTGTGTGTGTATCTGTGTGCGTGTGTATGTGTATTTATGTGTATATGTGTGTGTAAGTGTGTGTGTGTGTTCTTGTTTAAGGGAGGAAGGGGGTTGCAGGTGATCCTGCTATTTTTCAAATAATAAACAGAATTCAAATTAATTCAGTCAAATAATTGCTTGCTCATTTGAAATATGAGCAAATTATTGGCTGCTCATTTGACAAATGAGCAAGATTTATTTAAATTTCTATATAAGAATAATAAAAAAAATATTTTGGTGGTGCATATAAACATACTAATATCCTTTTATTATCATGAATTTTCTTTATCATTCAAATTTGCACTTTACATATCCATATTCTTATAAACTCAGAGAGTATTAGAAATTAACAAGTAAAAATTGTACACCTTGTAAAATCCAGCAAACAAGTATCTAAGGACAATTCATATAAGATGAAAGACTTACATTATTCTTCTTCAAACCTGAAGCCCACTTTGACAAACCCATGTATGTTTCCATAATCCTCATCAATGCAATTCCACAGTGCAAATGATTATTATCTGTAGACTTCCAAGGAGAATCAAGTGTAACATGCTCCATGCGCTTGATATCACTTGACAACACAGAGCTCTGTACATTTCCTTCATATTGCATAAAATTGCAAAATGCACTTCTCTGAAAATAAACATGTCAAATGAGAAAAGATAATAGATATTTTTAAAATCTAATAATTTTACTGAAATAAGCAAACATAATGTTAATAGAAATTAACTTTTAAATCGTACCAAATGTTTTAAAAGCTGTGTATGATCTCCGGAATCTTCACTATAATCAATAACCTCAATATTACCATGCTCTGTGGTAGTGTTGAAACATACCAAGAAATAATGACCTATTTCGTAAACTGGGAAGAAGAAAAGTTGAATGTCCTTCTTTGGGACAACACTTTGGCTGTATAACTTCTGAGCAACCTCACGAAACATAGTATTCCGATAACTAACAGAATCAATCTCATAATGAACAAGACACTCCTACATGTTTAAAAAAAATAAAAATTAATACAACTGGAATACTGTAAAATACTTCAATAAAATAAAATAAATTAAAGAATATGAACTTACAGTAGCAGTAACATTAAAAAAGAAACGAGCAGGAGAACTTGAGTCTCTAAATTGCTCATTATAATTCAAAATACTACACCAAGCATTAATGATTTCTGAATCAATTTTAAGGTGAGTATACAGCTTTTCAAGTTGAAATCTCACGACTTCAACATCATGCACTCCATTAACTTTGGATAAAAAGACTAGATCACTGCATAAAGGAATTAAAAAAGTTAATATCACTAAAGAAAATATGAATTAGTATACAAGATAACAAATTCTATAATAAAAAAATACTTACAAACGATTTTTATCATCATCAAACAGAGCTTCCAAGACAGTTTTCTGAACTTCTGATAATGTAGTGTAAATGTTGATAATCCGTGCCTTAAAAGGTGATCTAAGAAGCATTGATGGTTGAACTTTACGCTTCTTCAAAACAGGAACATCAGCACCACCTACAGCACAAGGAACATCAGCATCGGCAGCATCGGTAGCAACTGAAGGTCGTACAGGAACATCAACATCAACAGCTACTAAAGGTTGTACAATAGTTGGGGAGTTCTTCGGATCATCAAATCCTAAACTGAAAGTAGGAGTTCCAAATCCTTTTTTAACTGAAGATCTCAAACCAGATCGAATACTTGAACCTCCTACAACTTTTTCAGTTTCAACTACAATAGCAGGACCTTCATTTTCAGAAAGACTATTTGCTATCTGAACACTTTCAGCCGCAATCTTTGTAACATCAATGGCTCCTGTTACGGTTGGACAATCAGCCCTAGCAAAGACTGAGGATTCAACATTCTTCTCATTAGCAGAAATCTTGGAAAATCTATCCCAAGCTTCAATGACGGCTGGATCTTGCCAATACTCATCGTCTTGGCTAAAAGAAAAGCTATGATTTTCTGGCCTAGCTTGAGAACTCAATCTTTGCTCGTCACAAATACCCATTGCATCTTCCTTCAGCTTTCGTATTTTCTCATTGTGAGGAAATACGACTGGAATACTGTAAAATACTTCAATAAAATAAAATAAATTAAAGAATATGAAC